ATAATACTTTCAGATTTCCTCACTCTCCAATGGGACGCAGTAAATATTGAAAAACCGTTCACTGGGGGAGGAGGGAGAATGCCCTGGTGTTCAGTGTTTGCCAATATCTGTGGTGGAAATCCCCCCCACTGGGGGGGGGTTCACTACTAATGCGACGTCACTGCACNGTTTAGTGTTTGCCAATATCTGTGGTGGAAATCCCCCCCACTGGGGGGGGTTCACTACTAATGAGACGTCACTGCACTCAGCTGGGAGAGGTGCTGACCATCAGCTCTCACGGCCAGTGGCTAGGAATATCAGTTGCTCTCCAAAATGCCAGGCAAGCCTAATGCCAAGGGATTCTCTTTTCTTATGTAGAGACTGCTTGGATTGGCATCAGCAGCAAAAGCCAGTGGAGGACTGTGGTAATCGGGTTGGTAGATGAGTGGGGAGTAATTTCACTGTGTCTGTGCTACAAACATATTCCTCCAGGTTCATACACAGACTTTCTCCAGGTACCAGCATGGGACATCCCAGTGTGGGATCCCAAGGCTCAGCAGGGCCCGGGAATGCCACGGCGGTCTCATGTACAGCCGGGAGCCCGAGGCCTGCCACAGGTGCTCTGTTTCATCTTGGGTAAATCCCTTAGCCTCTCTGGGCCCCCACTTCCACATCTATACAGGAAAGGTGGGGGCGGAAGGTGAGAGAGCCCACAAGATGATCACCAAGTTTCCCCCTTCCAAGTCTTAAACACATGATTCTCTGAAATAACAGCAAACTAAATTGAGATTAGTTTTATGATGTTGGTCCCCAAGATTTTGTAATTGGGAAACAATGAGAATGCCAAAGGAGGAGGGACCTCTTGCTAATTACTGACTGGTCTGCAGAGAGCTGTGGCTCCTGTGCTCACACAAAAGGAAGTCTTTCAAACAGGGTATTACCGCCGGGAAACACAGCAGCTTCCAACTGCCCTGGTCTCATCTTGTGATAGATGAAATGTCTGTTCCCACGAGCCCATCGGAGACGGCTCTCGGTTCAGCCAGAAATACCCACATAGGCCCATCTCTTCACTGGTTTGTGTATTTTAGTCACAGTTATATGATGGGGTTATTATTTTCTGCAGTCTGCTTATATCAACACTTGCTTCCATTTAATCCTAAAATACTAGAGAATACTCAGATTGTCATAGGGACTCATAAATTGGTGTGTAGGAAGTGTGATTATCATTAGTGCCAATTTAATAAATGTTGCCAATGCCCTCACCGGTTTTACTCAGTGGTTAGAGCGTTGGCCTGTGTACTGAAGGGTCTCGGGTTCGATTCCGGCCAAGGGCACGTACCTCAGTTGCAGGCTCAATCCCTGGCCCTGCTTGGGTCGTGTGCGGGAGGCAACCAATCGATGTGTGTCTCTCACATCGATGTTTCTCCCTCTCTTTCTCTCTTTCTCTCTCCCCCTTCCACTTTCTCTGAAAAGCAATGGAAAAAATATCCTCAGGTGAGGATTTAAAAAAAAGAAAATAAATGTCTCCAAGGATATTCATTATTAGTTGTCTATTTGTAAAAATGGTGTTTCTGATAAGCACCTCATGAATATTTTCTTCTTTTTAAGTTTTATGTTATGTGTATCATCATGAACTCAGATTTAAACATATTTATCTATTTTTATTAATTTTAGAGAGAGAGGAAGGGGGAGAGAGAAACACCGATGTGAGAAAGAAACATCGACTGGTTGTCTCCTGTACACACCCTGGGGGTTCGACCTGAAACCTAGGTATGTGCCTGGACTGGGAATTGAACCCAAGACCTTCTGGTGCACAGGACAATGCTCCAACCAATTAAGCCACCCAGCGGGGGCTGTTGCGTGTTGTTTTTAACTCTAGAAAATGGCATTTGTTGAACTTCAGTGTGTGTGTGTGTGTGTGTGTGTATAATGATTATATGAGTTGTATTTTGCTTTGGCTAAAACTAAAGTTTAGTTGCCTTTCCCGAATGAATGTGGACTGGTGGGAGGTGACGGTCCTCCAGTGCGCTATGAGGCAGGTGGAGTTACTCCAGGACGAAGCCACATCTACTAAGGGGATGGTTCACATGCAGACCATCGAGTTATTTTATATACTTTCAGAAGTGATATCCCACAGGCTCGTAAATAGCCATTTTTCGCCCAAACCTAAAACATCACTTCAAGGGAAAATTCCTAGAGTGTGTGGTCAAATGGCATGAACTCACTGTGTGACCATTCCCCCTGCCCACCCAATGCTCAGGGAACTCTAGAGACACTCACTTCTCTCAAGGGAGCTGTGGGGGAAGCGGTCCACCTAGAATACTTCCAGAAAAGGGATCTCCTGCATGCTTCCAAGAGAAAAGAGCCACATCACACAGAGCCTCCTCTCTTAAGACACCCCCTTGCCTCAGTCACCCCACTCTCCTCGCTTCTGGAGATGTTTCTCTGAGCCATGCCTGGTTTAAAGAGGCTTTAGCTGTGTCTCACTTCAGCCCCCATGGGGGTGGGTGGGAGGGAAGAGCTTTCTTTGATCCACCTAATGAATTAATGAATTAAACAGAGTGGAGTTCAGAAGCCAGGCTCCTTACTTTTGCTGAAGCTGGGCTGATTATGAGCTGGCGTAACTGCTGGAAAATTGCCGCTTCGTGCTAGAAGAATTAGGGACATGGCCCGGTCCATTCATCTTCCCTAATCGAGTTCTTGGGAAATACACATGTAGATTAGCCCCTAACAATGACCCCCGGCTGATTGCTTGGAGTACCCTCCACCAAGCCCACAATAGTATTGACTAGGTCTTTATGTTGCTCACAAAGGAGGCCCCAGCCTCCCCTTGTCCAGCTTTGCCCTGTTTCCCCCCTAGTCCCTCACCAGTGACTGTTGAAGCCTTTTCTGCTCCCCACCCCCCAGACTCTGAAATAAACAGTAAATAAAAGCTAACCTCACCTGGACCTATTAGAGAGAGCTGGGCAGTTCCAGAGGGAATTAACTTTGGAAAACAAGGCCATAAGCCCCTTAGCGTGTGGGCAGGAGCTTAAGAAAACGCTGCCAATCTTTGTTTAACGGTGATTATAGAGATCAGTTTAATATTGGGCAAGTTTACATAAAAAGTATTCTCAGCCAGAAGGGAAGCCACAAACACCAATTAATTACCCCTGAGGCTGCCTCCTGGTCACCCAGGCATCAGCATCCCAGCTACCTGGAGGGACCTGGTGGGGTGCCACCAGGCTGATTTCGGGGCAGTGCCTTTGACAGCCTAGGAAGCCTGAGTAGAGCCCAAGGGCGGCTCCTTCACCCGGACTGTGGTGGGAACCTCTTCAGTCCTCCCGGCCTCCAGCACCCACAGGCCTCTGTCTAGGGATGCTGACTTCACTTCTTTCTGCCCAGGCTTCCCAGCCTCTGGGAGGAATTAAAGATGCCTTAGGCTAAGCTGTGCTTTGATTCTTTTCAAAACATCACCCTGTACAATAATAATTACAAATGAGCTGCAGCAGGAAAACAGTGGACAAGGAGTCAGCAGGTCTGAGTTCTAGTCCTGACCCCTCCACGTAGCGGCCGTATGGCTCTGAGACTCAGTTTCCTCTTCTGTCAAATGGGGACAAATATGTCCTGCTCACCTCACAGGGTTGTGGGGATCAGATGACAGGAAGACTGTGAAAGGATTCTGAAAATTACAGTGGTCTGCAAATACTATAAAGCACATATTGATTTTCATTAATTTAGCTTTTTCTTAAAATTAAAAATAATTTAACTTGAAACAGCAGCTCAGTTTCCAATTGCTTTGAACTCATATGCTTTCTGTTTTAACTTACCTTTTCATGGCTGTATTAAAAATAAAGCGATTTGTGTAATTACCTACCCTCCATTTGCCCATTTAACGATCCTTGGCCTAGTCACATGTCCTTTTTAATGCCCTTCTAACGTGAATTTAAAGGTGGGGGATCCCACGATAGGTGTTTTTCTCTTGTTTCTTCTTTTGTGTCCCAGGCTGGACCTTAAGCTCCTCAAGGCCAGTGGCCTTTCCTTTCCTTTGTGTGGCTGACAGGGCCCATGTCAGAGCTGGACTGTCAGAGCTGGGCTCCCAGAAAGTGCCCAGTAAACCCTTGTCTGAATGCAGAGGAAATAAACAAACAGGGGCAGGGAGGGGAGGGCAGGACCTGAGTGGGATCTAGGCACCTGTTGCAAAGATTTTTAAGACTGAGTCCTTTCCTAAAAGTCCTAGGCTTTTTGGGAAGCGTTTCAGTTCAGCAAAGGCAGGGCTCCTGCCTGGGGTCTGGCCTTAGATTTGAGAAGTGCTAGCGGTCACAGAATTGAGGGATGCGAAAGAAAAAAAATCACTCCCGCCACCCCAAATAAATCATCTTTCCACTTGGCCTATGAGTCTTTCTGGGCCACGAAAGCCTGGAGGGGTCCCCCAAAGGGGAAAGAAATGCATGCCTGTGACCGCCAGAGGAGCTAGAGGCCTCCCCCCACCCCTCAAGGTCCTTCCCCAGTGGGCCTGAGGATGGGTCGCCTCCTGGGCCTGGAGAATTGCTTGGTGGGGAGGGTTCCCGAAGGACACTGCCTGAGAGAGTGAGGAGCCCTAGTGGGTCTCCGTCCGGACTGAGCCCGGCGGCGCCCAGGACTCTGGGCCTTCTGGCCTCCTGCTGGGCCGTCGGGCACCTGCGGTCAGCGGGCGCTGGGCACCGAGGGCCCCACCGCCTCCCGGGCGGGCGCTGGAGTCAGGGAGCCTGCCGCGCACCAGTCCGAGGGGACTGGGAAGAGTTAAAACAGACACAAACAAACAAAATAAGCTCGAAGTCCGAGGCTTCGGGCTACGGGGCCGAAAGAGGATTGCCCCTGGAGGTACAAAGGGGGACGCAGAGGGGAAAATTCAAACGGAAAAGAAGCGTGGTCTGACTTCCAAAGCCACGGAGCCAAGAAGCCTTTCCAAGGGTGGCCCGGGCGCTCGGGGTAAGGACAGAGGCGCGGGGTAAGGATAGAGGCGCGGGGTAAGGATAGAGGCGAGTAGGGGATGAGCGGAGATGGAGGGGTAGGTGAGCCCCTGGGGGGAGGCAAGTCCGGGGGCACAAATGAGACCAAGGGCGTCGGCCCCACTGAAGCAAGACTGGGGGCGCCGACTCCAAGACCTGGGTCCCCAAACCTGTCGAACATGCCACCGCTTGCTCCCTGGGTGTGTTTGGAGCGAATGGAAAGATTCGGGGTCGGAGGTTCCGAGTGCTGCCCCCGCCTGGGGTCTGGGCGAGGGAAAGACCCGCCCGCCGCGGGGCGGGA